ACCCATACATGTACAATAATAGTATATTTTTAAGAACTCAGATGAGGCACTACATAGGTAGATAAAGAAGCTAAATGAGCCATGTCTTTAATCCCAGCATTTGGGAGGCTGAGGCAGACAGATCTCTGTGAGATCAAGGCCAGCTTGGTCTATATGGCAAGCGGCAGCACAGCCAGTAAAACCCTGCCTCAAACAACAGCAGCAACAGCAGCTAAGCAAAAGTGTTCCCTGGCTTTAGCAAGCAGGAAGGCAAGGGTACTGGTCACCTCCTGGGCAGTGAGCAGATAAAGCTCCAAAGCCCAGATGGGCTTGCACTGTGGAGGCTGGATTGAGGGTTAGTTGGGCCCCACGAGGGGCGCTCTCTTGCCAGGAGCAGAAGTGCTGTTTTGACACAACTCTGGTCTCTGCCTTCAGATGTGTCACCAGTGGCGGCTGGCCTCATCGGGGCCTCTGTGCTGGTGGTGTGTGTTTCTGTGACTGTCTTTGTGTGGACATGCTGCCACCAGCAGGCAGAGAAGAAGCACAAGACCCCGCCATACAAGTTTATTCACATGCTGAAAGGCATTAGCATCTACCCAGAGACCCTCAGCAACAAGAAGAAAATCATCAAAGTCCGGAGAGACAAAGATGGTCTCCGGAGGGAGAGTGCACGAGGGAACCTGTTAGTAAATGCGGCAGAGTCTGGCCTGCTGAGCCAAGAAAAGGACCCCAGAGGGCCTAGCTCTGCATCTTGTATAGACCAGTTACCCATCAAAAGAGACTATGGGGAAGAACTGAGGAGTCCCATGACAAGCCTGACCCCTGGTGAGAGCAAAGCCACCTCCCCATCATCACCAGAGGAAGAGGTGATGCTCGGATCCCTTACCTTCTCGGTGGACTATAACTTTCCCAAAAAAGCTCTGGTGGTGACAATCCAAGAGGCCCACGGGCTGCCAGTGATGGATGACCAAACCCAGGGCTCTGACCCCTACATCAAGATGACGATCCTTCCAGACAAGAGGCACCGAGTGAAGACCCGAGTGCTTCGCAAGACCCTGGACCCTGTATTTGATGAGACCTTCACCTTCTACGGAATTCCATACAGCCAGCTGCAGGACCTGGTGCTACATTTCCTCGTGCTCAGCTTTGATC